ATTTTTGAGAGAGAGACAGACAGACAGAGCACCAGCAGGGGAGGGGCAGAGAGAGAAGGAGAGACAGAATCCGAAGAAGGCTCCAGGCTCAGAGCTGTCAGCACAGAGCCGGATGCGGGGCTCCAACCCACCCACTGTGAGCTGAAGTCGGACACTTAACTGGCTGAGGCACCCAGGCGCCCCAAGGGACTGCGTTTTTGAAAGATGCTCCAAGGGACAGGAGGGTGAGGGACTGGAGATGAGGCCTGTGAAGCTGTTCTAGAAACTCATTTTTCCTCGTGACTCCTGGGTCAATTCCTGGGCCACAAATTCTCCATATGATTTTGAATTGCTGTCCATAGTTATTTGTTTGAAAGATGTTTATGGGGCCAAAAAAAAAAAAAAAAAAAAAAAAAAAAAAGCCGTAAAAATATACAGTAGAAATCACAATGTTATCAGCTCCCAGAATACAAACCAGGCACAGGTTTAATTATGCACTCAGGAAGCTTTTAAAAACATGACTTTCTAGGGGCACTTCTGCATTTGAGGCTGCATTTGGGATTCAGGAAAGCAAGTGTGTTACACTTATTTCCAAGACAAAGTTTCTTTCCTCCAATAAAACTCATTTGGGTTTTTAGTGGGGCCCTTGCAGAGTCAGAAGATGAAGGGAATCCCTGAAGGAGGCTTCCCCAAGGAAACGGGGGGGGGGGGGGGGGGGGGGGGGGCAGCACAGGGGACTAAGCAGCCTCGGCACACAACTGCAAGCAGCAAGGGGGTTCACCGACGGCTGTGTCTCCTTTTCTCCTTCCTGTAGGAATCTTTTTCTCCTGCTGATACTAAAAAGTATTTTAGGGGACGCCCAGGTGGTCCAGTCGGTTGAGCATCAGACTCTTGATTTCCACTCAGGTCGTGATCCCATGAGATGGAGCCCCAAATAGGGTTCCATGCTGACCGAATGGGGCTCCACGTTGACCGTGGACCCTACCTAAGATCGTCTCTCTCTTTGCCTTTCTCCCACTTGGACACGCATGTGTGCACACACGTGTACTCTCTCTCTCTCTTTCAAAGTTAATAAACTTTAAAAAATTTTTAGGGGAGCCTGGTGACTCAGTCAGTTAAGTGTCCGACTTTGGCTCAGGTCATGATCTCATGGTTCGTGAGTTCGAGCCCCGCGTCAGGCTGTCTGCTGTCAGCATGGAACCTGCCTCAGATTCTCTGTCCCCCACTCTCTCTCTGCCCCTCCCCTGCTCTCTCAAAAATAAACATTAAAAAAAAAATTTTTTTTAAGTATTTTAAGTTTTGGACACTACGTTTTTATCTATGTTTAAGCTGCAGTCTGATGTTAAAGATCATGTGTTCCTAGATGTAGTTTTCAGTAGTAATGGGACTCCATTCTTCAAGCAGTGAGGGGTGGGGGCTAGGCAGGTGAGTGACATTCTCAGACATGTGTTAGAAGTCTGACTCTGCCGTAACAAAAGCGACAAAAAGGTGGCAAGGGACAGATGCGGGGAGCCTCCCGTGCACTGGGGAGAGGAGGAGCAAAGGTTCGGCTGGGTTCATGCAAGGGCAGAACCCTGGGGCCTGAGGGCCAGAGTTTGGACGACCCTCAGTTTCCAGCTGAGCAAGAAGGTGGTACTTCTTTCTGTTCTTCCTATTAATCCTTCCTGCTTAGAAGAAAGCAGAGGAGGAGGGTGGGCGGGCGGAAAGTGGTTTTGTCTTCCATCACATTGATAGCACGTAACGGAGGTAAAAACTCAGTCCTCACACTCAGGAGCAAGTTGGGGTCAGGAGCTCGCCAAGATAGTTCCTTCAACTGGGGATGCGAAGGGTTTGGGTGTAAGAGGGCACAGAGGAAGGGGGCAGTGAGGAGCCTGGGAGGGGGGTTGGGGTCTCATGAAGGGCCTGAAGACAGGCTGAGGAGGCAGAAGGCAATGAGGAGGCAGTTGAGAGCCACTGCGAGCTGAATGCACAAGTGGCATAACATTTACATTCCGGAAAGATCCTTGTGGGGCTAGCCTGCACTAGAGGCCTGACCTGGCTAGGGACTGGGAACAGAGGAAAGGAAACAGCATGCATGGGGCCTTGCCTCCAGACGGGCCCAGATTAGACCAACGCCCAATTTGGGTGGCCATAATCCTGGCAGAAGTGTGCGGGAAGGGGCACAGGAGCAGGTCCCAGAGTGGCGCTGGGGGCTGGGGGCGCTGGTGAGTGCAGACTTCTGGCCAGGGGGAAGCCAGCGTAGGAGCAGCGCGGGAGCCCATGGGGAGAAGGCAGGCACCTGGGGTTAATTCTGGAGGCTGTGGGAGGAACAAGACCACCAGGGGTCAAGCTGGCTGCCAAGGAGACTTTGGGAGGGAGGGCTGGGATGGAGGGGGTCGTCTCCCTTGAGGGGTGCTGAGGTGGAATCTGGTGCGGGGGAGGGGTTCCCCAGAGGACGAGGGTCAGATCCCAGGCCCACCCCGCTCCAGTGGGTGACTTGGGGAAGGTGGGTACCTTCTCTGAGCCTCAGTTTCCTCTGTGAGATGGGCCCAGCGTGAGGACATCAAGCTCTGATTTCTGGGGCCCTCATGCAGTCAATAAAAGGTGGTAGTGATTTTAAGTCCTGGCAATATTTGGAATTTACATCCAGACCCAAAGCCCCAGCTGCATTCCTAGGAGGGATTCCCTTGTTTTCCAAAGGTGCCCTCAGGCGGACTCACCCAGGTCGAGAGGCCAGAGTGCTGCTGCCTGCTGCAGGAGGGAGGAGGAACCCACATTCCTTCCTGAGGTCCCCGCAGGTCCTCTCCCAGACACCCCCAAACCTGCTGGGGGGTCTCACTGAGCCATCTCCAATGTGTGCGGCTGCATGTCCGCTGCAGGCACCCCAAGCTCTCCGGAAAGTCCTGTTCCGGCTAGCTGGCTACGCAGCTCCCCGCTGCCAGCATTTCATCCCCCAGCTGCCTGTGCTGGGGTCACACCACTTCACACCCTCACCCTGCACAGCAGGTCCTGAGAACAGCAGGCAAAGGCCCCGCCGGAGATATTCTGGGGACACTGAGGGCAGATCCAAGGAAGGTTTATCAAGGTGCGTCCCTGGCAGCCGACGGCAGCTGCGTGGAAAGGGCATCCGAATGCGAACACCCGGTATCCGCCCTAAGGCTGACCATCCCAAGGTCCCCGCACCAGGGCCGGGAGCAAAATCTGAATGCCAGCAGTAAGAGCACCTGGTTGGCCGATGGGGTGTGTGTGTGTGTGTGTGTGTGTGTGTCCGCTTGGGGGAGGGGAAGGGGGTCCACCTTCATTCAGCTGCAGGTGTGACTGTCCAGGGAGGCAGCTGTGAGGGTGGAGTCTCAGTGGTGGCCAGTTGCAGTGGGGAAGGATCATGTCGGGACTCCCTGAAAACAAGCTGTGGGCAGGGCAGCGAAGGCTGCCAAGGTCACCAGGGGGCTTGGGCTCCCTAAGGAGGCCGAGAGGAGGGGAGACAAATATGGTGATGGAAAGAACTGGAAGCCACAGGGGTGAGGTATAAAAATCTGTATTTATATTACAAAGACAGAATGGTACAGCACAGTCCCTCCCGGTGAACAGGCTGGTGGGTGGCCCAATTCTCTCCAGTGAGGATCTTGTAACACGCTATCCTGGCCAGTGCCAGGCCCCCTGGGAAGCCCCAGACTCTGGCACAGAACCTGCCCTAGATGTGGCCCGGGGTCAGAGTTCTGTGTGCCCAGCTATGGGGAGGGGTCCCCAGGTTAGCTGATCCAGAGAGGCAGGGGGTGGGAGAGTGGGGGAAGCCTGCCTCGCTCAGCAGATGGGGATTGTCTGGGGCAGACAGGAGGGCACGGGTCCTCAGGGCCTTAGTTGGGCACACAGCCCCATCAGCCCAAGAGAGCTGGCTCGGGCCCCGGGCCTCCCAGACCCAAAATGCAAAGGTGGACCCAGAGCTCCAAGGAAGAGAAGCCTTCTTGCAGTCTTCCCAGCCAGCTGGGCCTGCACTGGGCAGTAGTGGCCTGGTGTACAGGGGCCACCTCCCAGTGAGGGTGGGGACCCAAACATGAGCCTGGGACTCCAGGATCCTGGCCACCCCGTGCCACAATGGCCCACAGAGGTGTGGGAGGGCACACGGATAGACAGTGCAGGCACCCCTGCAACCCTGTTCTGGTCCCATCTGCTTCTATAGACTCAACAGTGCTCAGTTATCCGACGCGGCCTCAGCAGGGCCCCCTCTGGGTCTCTGTGGCCACCAGCAACAGCTAACCTGTGCAAAAGGCCAGAGGGAGGAGAGAATGGATGTGTAACTCCTAGCACCATACCCTGGCCCCGAGGACCACCCCCAACGTGTCTGCTGGTGGCAGGGAGGGGCCTCTGGGAGCACAGGCCCCTAGGTGGCCAGTGAGGTCAACTCCCTGGCCCAGGTAGGAACCACAGCCTGAGAAGCCACAGGCTGAGCTGCCAGAGGTCAGCTGAGGGAGGGCCACAGTTGGTCACCTGGAGATGACCCTGCTGGCTGGGGTACTGGGGGAGCTGGTACTTTATGAATTCTGAACACAGACCGCCCCAGGGGTCTGGACTTGTGCCTCCCACAGCAGGATCTTCAACTCGCGCACTCCTGCCTCGGAGTGCGCCAGATGCTCACAAGAAGCTCTCTGTGGACGTGCTCGGGCAGACAGGAGCCACCCTAGGCACTCTAGACCCCCAGTGACACTGGAAGGAGACAGGACAGAACAGGTTCCCTCGCAACCACCAGCAAGATGTCTGGACAGTCTCCCCAGTCCCTGCGCTGTCTCCCATGAGCCTGCTCTCCACTCGCCATCCTGAGCCTCTGCAGGACAGGTTCTGTGCCAGAGCCGTTTCCAGGAACCCCTTTCTGCCTCAGTAGGCTACTCACCCTGGCGCGTCCACCAGCGTGACCGAAAATAAACACCAGCTTCCACCCCCCCCCACCCCCAGTCTGGAAATTGGTTACAACGCACCAGAGAGGGAAGCAGACACTGCGGCGGGGCGGCCCCACAGCACGCCACCCAAATATTGCTGTGTGGACAAGGGCTTCGGGAACAAAAGGCCAGGAGAAGCCTCCTAAGGCCCCGGCCTGGCTACCCAGGGTGAAGGGCTGTCCTCATCAGCTGCCTATTTCTGAAATCTGGGGCCCTCACCCCAGGCCAGGGGAGCAGGGACGGTTCAAGCTGGGTACAGCTGAGAACCTATTTCTCTGGTTAGCCGGCTCTTCACCAGGCCCCGGGCACAGCGATACTGGGGTGCTGGGTCACCAGGGGGCCAGGTGACAGAAAGCTGCGCACGATCCCCCCCCCCC